AAGCACCTCGACCTCGCTGCCCTACCCGCATCGGCTCTATTGGACATCCTCTCGATCCTCTCTCTCATCGTCGACCTCGCTCGCACATCGGCCTCGCCCTCGAACGCAAGCGACATCCTCGACTCGCTCTTCTCGACACCCAGGCTACTCGAGGCTGTCTCGTCCGCCTTCATCGCCGTCTCATGGCCTCCCGCTCCATCCTCAACCACGCCCTCTCCCGCCGCCCTCAACTTCCTCACCTCCCTCGCCCGTTCCTCCCGCACGCGCGCAAAACAACTCGCGACCCGCTCACTCATCGACTCAACGATGCGCTTCGTCGCTCTCCCGCCTTGGGACCTCGAGCTCTCCGCGGACCAGAAAGTGGGCGATGACCTCTTTTGCGCGACGCTGGAGTTGTGGTCTACCCTGGCGCGGTACGGACTTGCCACCGACTTGCGCGCCAAGTCTTCCCCGCTCCTCGAGACCCTCCACGAGTGCATCTCAGACCCTTCGTTCGACCCATCCGGCCGCGATGCACGCTGGACGGCTCGCTACCTCGAGCTCATCAGCTTGTGGACGACAGCGGCTACTGATCCGCATGTGACGGGTCACGATGTGACTTGGTCGCAAGTTGAGGGATTGAGGGAGGTGGGTGTTGAGGCGTATGAGCGGGCGATGGAACGGGATGGGGAGGGAGCGAAGAGGGTCGTGGCGGCTGCTTGGGAGGCACTGGGCAGTTGGGTCGAGGGGAGTAAGGTGAATAAGTCGAGGAGGGGGGAGGACGAGAGGCGATGGGTGCGCGAGCGCTTTGAGGCGGCGCTTGCGAGCGGAGGTGAGGCGGAGAGGATGGTGTTGGATGCGCTGAGAATGGTCGAGGAGGGTGGAGAGGGACACGAGACGGCGACGAGAGTGGCGGCTGCTGCGTTGCGGCTGTCGCAGGCGTTGGAGGACGAGGCGGAGCCGGCGAACGACGTGAAGCCTCTCCTGGACATCCCGCAGGACATCGCCGCTCGCGTCGTCCGCGCCATCGTGCGCCAATCACCTTCGCTCGTCACGACCGCCATCGCCGTCTCGCTTCTCCCGCGTATCGCCTTGCCAGATCGCCTTGATCTCACCCTCGCCCTCCTCCCTCTCCTGCATGTCGAGGACGCCGTCACGGCTCGCGACCTCGTCGACTGGGTTTTCTGCACCTTGTCGAATGCGGACGCCTCGTTCTCGACCCTCGCCGCTCTTGACACCACGCTCGAACTTCCCGCCCTCGCTCGCTCCTCAATCCTTCGACCTTTCGTCACCCATGCCATTGTCACCG